CCACCATGCCTCATTTATTAATATTTAAAAAAAAAAACTCACGCCTCCATAAACCTTAAACCCAACACATACGTAAATATTTTAAGGTAAAAACCTAACTCCTAAATCACCTATTATTACCCACACCCCCACTAATCAATCCGCCATACCTCATTTATTTAGAAAAAAACAAATTGGTTTTCAATGTTTTTAATACGTAAACGTGTTTTATTGTGTTTAAACAAGGCTTTTCATTTTTACCCTTTTTAAACCCAAATCTTTTTATTTTTACCCATTTTTCTTTTTTTGGATGAAAACTTACACCACGCACTCATTTAATAACAAAAATTATATCTATAAAAAAAACAATTCTAAAACAAGTTTCTAGCTTCTTCCATAACACAATTCCACTAATGATCAATAAATCAATACAATAAATTTATACCTTCTTCCATAACACAACTTCACCGATGATCAATAAATCTATAAACAAAAAACAAAAAACATTTTTACATTCATCATACACATTTCATTTAAATTAAAGGTTTTTCATTTTCACACCTTAATAAATGAACTACCTCAATTATGCTTGAGAACTCTCTTATTCAAGGTGAAGCCCAACAAAAATAATAAAAATAACCCTAATAACTAGATGATAAATCACCCCAAGAAAGCTAAACCTATTTTACTTGGAAAGATATGATCAAAGATCAAGAATAAAGAAGAACTTGTTCCTATATATAAGATTTCGAACTCTCCATAACCTAATTGATCGAACTAGATTGAAAATTCTAATACATGCATTCTAACACAAGATGATATGAACCAAAGTGTCTTAGTGCTCAAGGATTTAAAGGAAGATGTTGAGAATCCTATGTCCAAGTTGACAACAAATTGGAGTTGCATTAAATGCACTCTAGTTTCATTTATGGCCAACTCAAGTTGCATTCATGGAAGTCAAAGTTGAACTCAAGATGCATTCATGGAAGTCAAAGTTGAACTCAAGTTGCATTCAATGAACTTAAGTGCATCTCAAGCTTCATTTATTGCAAGTCATCTATCAATTAATGGAACTACACTTCAAACTACTTCAAGTGAAGCTTCATTTACAATTGGGAAGTTACAAAGACTTTGAAGGGTGACCAAGACTTCAATTCTCGGATTTA